GCAGTTTTGAGCAAGAAACATTTGTCTGGTTTGAACAGTAATGTTTCCAAAATCCTGAATGGATTATTGTTTATGACTGAACTGCTTTTAGGCATGTTCCTTTTGCTATTGGTTTAGACTAATTAGAGAAATATGGGAATAACATGAAGAGAAAAGAAATAGTTGAACACATTAAAAATATGCCTTGTATTTGTGATGAAATCTTCGTCCTGTCAAATATGTTTTTGCTTTGCTAATGGCTGAAATAAAATGAAAATTAAGATTACCAATTTCATAGTAAATAAAACAAAATATTTTACTACCATGTACATAAGTAGAAACTTATTTACAGCAAACCAGCAAACAAATAAGCATATACTGTAATTAAAAATAGCAGGAAACTTGTATACTGCTATGTTTAATAGAATATTCAGCCATTAAAAAGTAAGATTACAGTTATATGTGCATAATTAGAGTGAATTCTTAAAGTAATAGTATGCAGAGGAGCAGTATGAACTATCCTGCACCCTTTTCTATTCTATTTCTATCCTGTTTAAAATATTCAGTAATATTTTCAATACTTGTTTCTAAAAATCCTGGTTTGGACTTTGACAATTTTAAATTTGAATATTATAGTCTTCAAAAAATGGAAAGGTTGCATTGATTGAAAATAAGTGTTATGGTAATTATTTTTATGAACTATATTTTCAGATTTGTGCAGAAGACTGACGAATTGGAGTTTATCAGAGTTATTCAAATCAGGAATTTTTAAGTCAGTAACAAAAACAACAAGTCTTTTATTTATACTTTATTTCCTAAATTGTACAATTGTACAAATGTACAATTCCAACAGAGCCATGCTAATTTAAAAATAAGTAGAATATTATTGTATTTTCATTGTTTCATTTTCATGACCAAGTATTGTGTCACTGTTATAAGCCTTGCTTCCTTCTTGAAGCAATATTCCAATATAAAGAGGATAATTCTTTTTTTCTTTTTATATTTATAAGGTCCTCTAAGAAATATATATATGTATAAAATTTTATACAACAATTTCATAAAAGATGACTATACTGCATTGTAATAATTCATATCTAATCCACTTCTATAAGCAACTTTTAATAAGTGACAAAAACATCGTATCTTCAATCTTTGATATAATTGGGCCATACATTGTTGAAAAACTGAGGGGATTCCACTTTTGCTATCCCCCCATACGTGGGGCAGATCCCACAAGCTGACACTAAAGAAGACTCCTGACACAGAGGCTTTCTTGGGGTGGGACTGCCCCGAACCGAAGTCCGGGAACTACTTTATTGATTACAATATGCAAATAAGCATTGATTACATGTGATACATTTGTGCCATACATATAATTTCTTGCTGCGCCATAAGCTTAAAACCACTCCCATTACTTAGTCTCAGAGCATGTCAAGAGTACATGTCATGTTTGACCTATATTGCCCACCTGCCGACACAAAACAAAACCCTGTGGTTAGTGCCTTCTCGAGCTTAGTTCTGCATAACATCCTGTTTAACTGTCATGCGGTTTGCCATTTGTGTTACGAGCTAGCGAGCTTTGCCGCAGACGTTTCCTCTAGAAAGGGCAATGAAAGGGCAAGGAGGGGGCGAGGAGGGGGCTACAACTCCAACATCTCCCCTGTCTTTTTCTAATTAAAGGAAAAATCATCTTCTTCACTGCTAAGGGTTATGGCTAAAGGGTCCGGTACGTCCATGGTTGGCAGTGCCTTGTACCTAACCAGGTGTATGGTCCTTTTGAGGAAAATATATTTTTCTGCTCCTTTTTAATATTTCCTTCTGGGGGGGCTAACTTCCATCAATATCCCCACTTTGTGCCTTAAGTGTGTAAATGTATGACATTAAAATTGATCTGGTCAGAGAGACTTGGTAGGCAAGCTTTTAAACTGTTAAGCAAAAAAAGGAAAAGAAAATTAAAACATTAATGGAGGCAGCAGAAAAAGATCCCTTTAGTGGCATCTATAAAGTTCTAAAAGTTAGGGCAAAATTTTGTTAGGTGGAAAAGAAATTTATAGTATCCAATATTCTGTGCCAATCATTTTCAAATGTTGGATGTCACCTTTAGCTTCCAGTCAGGTTTGCATACCTCCCAAAATTCTCCACAGCCATGGTTTTCCTTAATACATGACCACTGGCTGCCCAATTTCAAGGGTTGTTTCCTGCCTTAGCTCTTAATTCAGTGCATCCAGGTTTGTAATGTCCAATATGCCAGTCTATTAAATTTTCTTTAAATTGCACATAATGAGTTCTAGGAATCCCAATCTGAGCTCACCAGTGTAAGATATTCAGGGCTGAAGTTTGGGATTTTTCCTGTTGCCTCCTTAGTCAGGGCATATGAATTGCAAATCACCTGAGGGGGCCTAGTTCCCTCCCCCTTGTTATCTGTTGAAAGTTGGTCCCACAAAGCTTTGGTGCAATAGAGCAAAAATCAGCCTGAGGAACTTTACTAAAGGTAGGTGGAGGAGATAAACTCAAGTGTAATTCTGAATGGTGTGTGTGTGTGCATGTATGTGCAGCTACTTTTACAAAATAGTCAATACAAACATTCTGGATCAATTTTCCCTCCCACCAGATAGAAGTTCAAGGTGTTCAGTACTTGTTCTGCCACATATTCCCAAGTGCCATCTCTCTATTAATACATTCAACTGGCTTGTTACAATACAAATGGGGCAAGAAAAAAAAAGTTTACAATGAGTTTCCACCCTCCCCCCACAGTCTTAATGTTCTCTTTTGAGGCTTTACATGGCACCACCTTCCTTCTGCAGCTCTCACAGGCATCTGGGGAAATGGTAGGACTTGGGAAAATGTTCCACTCAGATTGCATGGTGGCTTTTTAGTGGATGGCTGGATTCAAAATTCAATTCCATGGCTCAAATGGATGGAGGCAGCATCTGGGTCTGTGTGTTCTGCTTCCAAAGGCTTGGGAGAGGGTTTCAGGGCTGAAAGATACAAGAACAGGGTCTCCCCCCCCCTTTCTGGGTGGACTCTACCAGGAGAGGCAGACAAAAGGTATGGAGAACAGAGATTAGAAAATGCTTATTTGTTTCAGAAAAGTTTCATAGTAGTTTCACCAGTAAGTTTTAGGATATGAAAAGTAACTTAGGAAAATTATTTCCCCACACAAGCAGACTTGAGCTTCAAAAGGCTCTTGTAGATAGACACACATTTTTCAAAAAAAGGATAGATGAAATACATACAGTAAATGCAAGTGAAACTTTTCCAACAGATAAACTTAAAACAATCCCTCCTGGTAACTTAAGGCTGTTCTTGAGCGTACACAGAGAGAAAGAAAAACAAACAAACAAACAAACACAATTCTTTTTCTTCACTCTGTTTGTTGGCTAGACAAACAGAATGAGGTATTTCCTTTTTGTGGCTTATTTTAAGCAGAATTTCTAGCAAACTTTAAAATTCTTTTTCCTTTAGATTTGAAACAATTAACAGTCACAGTTTTACACATCCTGATCATTCATGAAAATACTTTTCTAATTTAACCCACACAGATTGTTTGAATAACCCCTCTTCAGGGTAGGTTGGGCATTGTTGATAAACATATTTTAGCAGACTGACCAGGTCTGACTTGGTGGGAACGGCCAGATTTTTCCATTATTAAGTCGGGTCTTGGTCAATTCCCTAAGTTCGTGGAGGTGCGCAACCTGAGGCTTAGAGAATTCTGCCCCCATACTCACGAGTTTTAGGAGGGTACTTCGTTCTACGACGACCGGCCCTGAATTGCAGTAGGCGTCCTGCCGAGTGAAGTATGAGGGTACCAAGAGATGTCTAGGAGGGTGCTTCGTTCTGCGACGACCGGCCCTGAGAGTTGCAACAAGACATACACGTCTAGGAGGGTGCTTCGTTCTGCGACGACCGGCCCTGAGAGTTGCAACAGGACATACACTCGACTTGCGGGTCGAATCACGTCGGGGTCACCACCTGAGGGGATTCCACTTTTGCTATCCCCCCATACGTGGGGCAGATCCCACAAGCTGACACTAAAGAAGACTCCTGACACAGAGGCTTTCTTGGGGTGGGACTGCCCCGAACCGAAGTCCGGGAACTACTTTATTGATTACAATATGCAAATAAGCATTGATTACATGTGATACATTTGTGCCATACATATAATTTCTTGCTGCGCCATAAGCTTAAAACCACTCCCATTACTTAGTCTCAGAGCATGTCAAGAGTACATGTCATGTTTGACCTATATTGCCCACCTGGCGACACAAAACAAAACCCTGTGGTTAGTGCCTTCTCGAGCTTAGTTCTGCATAACATCCTGTTTAACTGTCATGCGGTTTGCCATTTGTGTTACGAGCTAGCGAGCTTTGCCGCAGACGTTTCCTCTAGAAAGGGCAATGAAAGGGCAAGGAGGGGGCGAGGAGGGGGCTACAACTCCAACAAAAAACTTAACTTTTAGCAGTAAAAAGAGCTGGAAGAAACCAATTCTGTACTCTAGCTCTCAGTTTTTATGTTTTTTTAAAAAAAATACCTTAAATAAAATTAATCTCTGTCCTTATTTTTCCTCAGAACATCACAAGCTAAGGACAATTGAAAAATTTAACTTTTAATGCAGCACTGTTCTTTCTCCATCTCCAAACCATTATGATTTATTGATTCTTTTTCTATACAAATGTAATAGGATAAGTAACTCTGATTTTGTTGTTCCTTTTGAATAAGCCATAATCAAAGATCTATTGAAAATACTGATTTAACATTTTTAAATGTTTAGAAATACTGATGTTTAAGAGAATTTATATAAAATAGGGATGTCCAGTTCCTTTATCCATCCAGTCTTTAGCAATTGCATATTGAATGTATTTATTGATAACAGGTATTTTTAAACACAAAATATGGATTTTTTTGTCTAATGCCATTAAGCATTCACTTCACATGTCTCTGAACCTGAAAATTACACTGATTGAAATAAATACGGTATGTCAATAAATATTTTTCTTACTTTCCCCCCTTCTTTTTCACAGATGAATTACAAATGAAACTTTTGCTCAGTTTTTCCAGATTTCTACAACAAGATGTTTACTGCAAATACTGCAAACTGGGTTACTTTTGACGATGAATCCCAGTCTCCTCAGAGGGCAAAAGAAAATGACAACGTTTGCAAACCAAATGGGCTTAAACTCACACTGCCTAAAATGCAAGATTTTTCAAACCAATTGTCTTCCATCACCTGTACTTCTCTCTCTTCTCCTATAAGTGACTACTACTATAGCCCTGATCCCCCCAGTAATTCTCCACTCTGCACACCCACCAGAGACTATCCTGTTAGTCCTTGCTTTCCCAAATCAGGAACTCATTTTCTAAGTCCTATTCCAGAATTGTCATCCAACATTAATCATCTCCCACTGATTGAATCACCTTCTCAAAAATTGATTGGAATATCTCAGCCTGTGCACAGTTCAGAATTTTCTACTCTGAAACCAATACATGGCGCACATGTTATGCATCAAGAAAACTCAAAAAAATTGGAAAATTCCTTAGACTCACAAACCTTGTTTCAGAATGTTTCAAGTGACTCTGCTTTCTCTAATCCATTTTGGTCAGAAGATTCATGTACTATGTCTTTGTCCAGCTTTCATGGACATGGAAAAGAGTCAGATTTTGAAAGAGATTATTCTTTTAAAGGGAAGAAAAGCTGGCCAGATCAGAAAAGCCTAAATCAGGGTTCATTCAATTATATTTGTGAGAGGCTTGAACACTTGAAAACAGAAACTTCGAACACTGAAAGAGCTTTGAGGCCAGTTCCATGTATGTGCACTAGAGATGGCCTTTCTTCATTTATTCCAAGCAGTCTCTTTAGCAGCCAGAGAATAGATGGCTGGCCTTTCATGTTGAGGATTCCTGAAAAGAAAAATATGATGTCATCAAGGCAGTGGGGTCCTATTTACCTTAGAGTTTTATCAGGAGGAATCCTACAAATGTATTATGAAAAAGGTCTTGAAAAACCTTTCAAAGAATTCCAGCTGCAGCCATTTTGCAGGCTTTCAGAACCAAAGTTAGAGAACTGCAACATCTCTGGAAAAATCCATACAGTGAAAATTGAATATGTGACGTATACAGAGAAAAAGAAATACCCTAAAACTGAAGTAGTTCATGAAGCAGAGATCGAACAGATGCTGAAATTAGGAACAATTGATTACAGTGACTTCACTGACTTCCTAATGATAGTTGAGGAAGAGTTAATGAAGCTTCCTGCTATTTCAAAACCAAAGAGACATTATGAAGAACAAGAAATGATCGTGGAAATAGTGGATAATTTTTGGGGGACAATTAGTAAAGCAGAAGAGAGGTTAATTGAAACTGCTGTCATAACTCATATTTATTCATTAAACTTTTTGAATGGTAATTCTGAGTGCTTTATGACACTAAATGACTTGGAGCTTCAAAAAAGGGATGAACATTATTTTGAGTCAGACATTAAGAAAAAATGGATCAAAATGAGTGACTATCACTTTCATCAGTGTGTGAAGAAACAAGAATTTGAGCAATCAAGAATAATCAAATTTACACCACCAGATGGCTGTAGAGTAGAACTAATGCGTTATAGGACACAATATAATGGATCAGATCTTCCATTTTCTGTCAAAGCCTTGTTAGTCGTTCAAGGAGCTTATGTCGAACTGCAAGCTTTCATAAACATGTCTTCAGCATATTCACACCCTACAAAACACTGTGAGAATGTAATGGTTCACTTTCCTGTTCCCTCACAATGGAACAAAACTCTTTGGACTATGAACCTCCAAAGACAGAGATCCCTGAAAGCAAAAATGAACAGAAGAACTTGCCTTGGCTCTTTAAACGAGGTTGAATCTGACTCCATTATTCATGTCTCAGTTGGAACAGCCAAATATGAAAGTGCCTATAGAGCTATTGTGTGGAAAATTGACAGACTACCAGATAAAAACTCAAGTAAATAATTTTTAGAAAATTATTTTATATAAATGCTGTACGAGAATTGAATCGAATTATTTCAGTAGTTTATTAATATGACAGAAATAAGATAGTGGCAGAATTAATGGTCAAGTAAATAAAATATATGATATAGTGGAAGACCATGCCTATTTCATTCTGGCTAGCATACTCCCATTGCTAACAGTGGGTATGATGATATATAGTAGATATCATTTTAGTGTATGTAGGGATATGTTTTGAATGTTTATCATTGCTCTTGCCGGTTTAATCTCAAATTCTGAATTATTCTATTCACCTGTGCAAAATATAAAATCTTGTCAAATCACAACCATTTATATTTTATAAAACAAATGTTGATTGACAAGATGATATCATTTAAACTTGTTTTATACATTTCTTCTTAAAGGGCCCTAGAGTTATGTTAGAATGTGTGTTTTGGGAAAATCTTTTATTGAGTTGGATCCAAGTATGTATCTCTCCATAGATAGCAACAAGTATGTTTTCTAAATACAGTGGCTAAATATGCATTAGCCTTGAAAAACAAAAAAATATGCATAGAACAGCTTAACAAGTTGCTCTAGAAATTGTATATTTTCTCCTGTTGAAGATAGCTATATAAATCTGAAATCTTATCATATGATAGCTGCATTTATGTCTTCAAATATATGCAAAAAAGAATGAATACGAAGTTTAATGTAAGATGGCAAGAAGTAATTCTGTATCTTTTGAACTATTTTGAACAGCAAGGGGATAGAAAATATATTGAATATACTATATTGCCAGAATTAATACTTTGATATCAAGTATTTGGTATGCTGGGCTCTTCTGTGTTTTTTATGATTGCCCAACAAATTTGAATTCTATCTGCTAGTGTTATATTATGTTTTGGTTAAAAAATGATACAGATCAAAATTTAAGACTGGGGCAAATATTCCAGGGGATATTTAGTGGCCCTTCATTATTGTTGTTTCCTGTCAAACTACTTAACTATGACTTGATTGTTCTCTCAACCAGCTGTTTTTGTAAAGCTTTGCTATAATATTTTCCCCTCTTTCTTTCCAAGATCCAGATCATCTGCACAGTTTGTCTTTCAAACTAGAACTTGGCTCAGATCAAGAAATCCCTTCCAATTGGAGCCCTTTTGCTGTGGTGCAGTTTGTTGTGTCTGACACATGTGCCTCAGGAACTGAAGTGAAATCATGGGGTATTGATAGGGATGTACAGCCTCAGAAACATGTGATTCAGAAAGCATGTTATAATTGCCAGGTAATGTCTTTCTGTTCCTGCTTAATCAAATGACAACCTACACTTACCATAATCATATTTAACTTTATTTAATTGTATGTCTTTTGCTAAGACATGCATCTGATAATGTAATTGCTATTCTGTGGAACCTTATCCAGCACTAGCACAATGCTTATGTCTAGATAACATATAAAATGTAGCTGCATCCTGTTGGACCAATTGCCTTATTTCTCTGCTGTACAAACCTTTCTAGTGGTTGTCTCTGTCTTAAAATTTCCCAAATCATCTACCAGAGCAACTGGCTTATCACACGACCTGCCCACAACTTTTTATCATGCCAGCCAGAAAAAAATAAATGTAAAACAAATCATGATTTTTGCCTCTTGCCTCTCTGCATACTGTTTACTGAGGGTCATGACTGAGACAAGATAATATGTATTAAACAAGCCAGTGGTAACCATTGTAAATTCATATAGAATGGCAGGAAACAGCCATCTGGCATGATGAAGCACATAGACTAATATAAGCTTTGCTTTATATGTGCCTTTAATTTTTAAATTACTGAAGAATTTTAGCAAGCAAAGATATCTGTTCTTCTGAACAAGTCTCAAAACTCTTGTTCTCTGTATATTATGGCACAAAGGATTGTGTCAATGGGCTCATTTAACTAACATGATGCTTCTACAGCTCAGAAAACCCCATTTTTATTTTTCTGTAAGTTTTAGATCTAATAATGTTCTGTGACTGTTTTCACAGCTTATTACATTTTTATTTTAAATATTTAAGTAGGGCTTATTTATAATATAGGCAATGCTTCTGTTGATTGAGGTAAAATAGGTGGAGTGGACCATGCACATATTTGCTGGGGTTACATTAGAATATTGTTTATATTTTTAATGAGATAGGATGGTGGTCTTAAGTCAGTATCACAGCAACATGTTTTTTTTATTCTATATATTTATCTTAAGTGTTCTGTTAATATTCCATTTATATTTTATTTCAATAAAAAGGGCTATTATTAAATAGGAATGTCACTAATAATATAAGCCTTTTTTAATCCCATTTCTTTTGCTTTCATACTATAGGTTGAAATTGAGAAGAAATGGATTAGACTTGAGGGAGAAGATCCCAATAAGAGTGGAGATTGTAACATACAGTAGAAGAGAGAAGTAATCTGGATTCCTTTTGAGATTGTGAGAAATATTTTAATATAAGCAGGATAATTTAAATGCAGTAAAGAAATGGATATCAGTATATAATTTTCCAATTGTCATGTAAAAAGTTTAAGTACGTAATTATCAGTTTGCTTTCTAAACATTTAATATATTAACTATAACATTATAAGAATAATACTATAAGTTGATTCTGTTTCAGAGTTTGTGGGAAACGAATGGAACTCCATAAAGCAGATATACTTTTCCTGAGATAATACAAGTACGATATGCACTGCAAGTGCCATATAATTGTTGGAGAAAATATATTTGGGTTAATGAACTGCAGATAGATTCTGTTTGTACTTTTGTGTATTCCTAAATACCTTTCTGTCTTTCAACACAAAGGACATACTATATTGAAAATAACTATATTTTATATGACTTCAAAGTCAGTTCATCAGAAATCTTTTTAGTGATAGCATCCAAATATTTTAACTTTTGATGTTGTCTAGTATTATAAGAAATAGATAAAATCTGTCTGTATAATCCTTTATATTCTTCCCGACTTTCACTAAAAAAAATGCAGGCCCAGCTATATTTATTGGTAGATTCATTGGTGAGCTTAAACTTTTTACTGTAAGTTGAATCTTATACATTGTAAGTACTTCAGTATGTTCTTTTGCTACATAAAAGTATACGTGTGGAAAATGATTCACTAGAGTACAAGATATTTTTCAGGATAGTATGGTTGGCAAAAATAGAGAACTAATCCATTGCTTTCTTCCAAAATTGTTAATATAGGGGAAGCATTGCAATAATTTGAACTGTTCCCTTCCTTTGGGGTTTTGGTGAAAATAGGTTTTGCTTTGTAATATTTTGCCTTTGGTTAAAAAATATTTGAATCTCCAACAAGAACAAATGTTAGATTGGAAAAAAAAGCCTTCATTTGTTCTTCGGAGAAGTTGAAGAACAAGGTGTCTCATATGAACATGAAAAGCAAGATGTTCTTTGTTTTGCCAGCTGAGCTAGAGTTTACTTAAGGAGTGTGGAGTGGATTGCACCTGACTCTAAAGGAAAATAGCTATACCCTTTGGGCTATTTTGAACTTATTTTTAAAATTTATTATTTAGATGTGTTTGGACATTTGGGAAGAGGACTCATCACTGTTTTCAATCTTGAGGTATATACTGAATATTTGGGAAGCTAAGAATTTATATTGCTTGCATTCTGATTAATTTTAATTGTTCCACATGTTATTTTTGTTTCATGTAACTCTTTTTGGAATAAAACTGCAACAGCACATTTCATTTCACATAACATGTTTATTCTTGCTGCAGATACTAAATACAGGTAATATTATTTAAAATTAAATTGAGCTCAGTTGATTTGCAAACCATGTCTTATATTGTATTTCCAGTTCAACGTGTCATGGAATTTAATATTAAGATACTTAATAAGTAAGATTCAAAATTTAACAAGACTTAAAAGGAGGTGGATTTGAATTTCCTAAACTGAAATTATATTATCAAGTGAGCTGTTTATTGTGGATAACAGAATGGATAAAAACCCTAAACAGCAGAATATTAATTGTAGTAGGAACTGACTTAGTCAATAGATTTCATAGGTATTTATGGTATGAAGAAACAAGAGAAGTATGAGAAGAAGCATATTATAAGGCAAAGTTTGTTAAAAATATGGAATTGTCTAAAAAACAAGGATATATCTGGTAATTTCACCATTAGCATTATTGTCAGATGCCTTTTACTTTGAAGACAACTACAGTAAAAAGGATGCTAATAATGTTGTACTCAGACTTGGAAAACAGATTAAAGCCATAGTAAGAACTGTTCTGTGAAGGTAGGAATTCACCATGGTTAATTGCTGGAAGAATAAAAACTGATCTCAAGAAAAGAGGAACTTTGAGAAAAAGGGCAGAATTTAGAATACTTAACCAAGACAATCTATTAGGGGTATATTCTTATTGAAATATGACATGGAGACAAAATAAATAAAAATTGTATGATAAAGTGGATGCAAACTTCAAAGAAGTAATTACAATAGAATAATGGACTTATGGGAAAAATACAATTTACTCTAAGCTATATTTTGGTAAGGTGTACTTCATCAATGATTACCAAGTTCAAAAGAAATGATACAATCACAAATATTGGAAATGCTACAACAAATAAAGAACATTTTATCTATGTGTTTAGTTATGCTAATTCAAAAGTATTGGAAGGAAATGCACCAAAATATTCAGATAGTGTACGTGTATGTGTGTGTGTGTATAAATACATACATACATGCACACTTTTCTGTAGGAACAATCCATTTATGCCAGTGTGGTTTTCCTGTTGTGGAAGGAATCATCATTTAAAAATGTGTATATTTTATGAAAAAAAATACATAAAATTAGCATGTACACAATATAAATATACATAGAGTATTTCTGACACAATAGAAATGAAAGCAGAGAAATGTCTTTTAACTCTAATGCAGTTAGATTTTTTGGTAAAAGAGAATCATGTTGTAGTTTTTAAAGTAAGAACACACTGTTAATCACAAAGCAATACTTTTTATGTAAATGAGTATGCACAGATCTAATTCTGTTTTCCCACAGTGCAGAAAAGTATTCTTGGGGTGGTTCTTTCTGTGTACTTGATAAAAGCAACAACTGCAGTCAATACACAATTTGGAGGAGGAAGTCCTCTTCTGTTCCTCTTCTGCCTAACTGTGGTGGCCATACTAAGAGAGCAGCTCTACTGTCTAGTACTATATGTAGGTATCCAGATGAGGAGAACAGAATGAAAGGAATTTAGTCTATCTTGATCCTTTGATGCCTCAGAAGATCACTCCAGAAGGATCTGTTAGACTTGTGCATTATAAGTTACAAGGGGAAGGTCCTTCCATATGGGTGCTGCCCTCTGTTTCTGTGGGAGTAATTGCAGAACCAGTGGACAACACCAAAGGAATATGTAGCTCATGTATGGATCTTCTTTCCACATCCTGTTTCAAGGAACTGAGCCATTAATAAAGATAGAGCCTTATTTGGGCACACAGTCATCACCTTAAATTTTGCAGTTGAATTACATGAATAAAGCTATGTGGGCTTGATTCATGCTCTTTGCAGCTCCCTGTAAGAGGAGAAGTTTCCTCAGTCATGGGATTTTTCCCTGTTGCCTTCATTTCCTTGCTCCCTTCACTGTCATTGGCTGTCTATCACTGATAAAAACACAAGGGCTGAAAAAACAGTCTTGGCTGATGACCATTCAAAATGTTGCAGTCATGTAGGGATATTTTCATTGATATAAATTTCTTTTTCAGATCCCAAGTTAAGAAAGCAGGGTTCAAGGAGAGCTGTTTCCACATTGATTTCTTTGCTGTTGGTCTCTTTAGCAGTTTCCCCACTTCCAGGCTGCTCTGAGACCTTGTAGTCACCTTTTATTCTCAGAAAAGGGTGAAAGAAAACTTAATGTGAGTGGTTGCCCCCCCTCCCATTTTTTATACTGGCACATTGTGTAAAAACTTCTGGCTGAAATAATAAAATATTGATTCCAAATTTAAAGCTGCAGTACATGTGAGGTCATTCAACAAGACAAGTTAGTCTATGATACACTATTTGAGGAAATTTAAGTACGGTACAAACCAGAGAAAAGGAAAAGGGCTTCCAAGTTGTCCTGAAAGATTTCAAATGCTTCAAGAGCTTCTTCTCATATATCTGTTCAGCTGTTAAACCTGTTCCCAGATCTCAAGAGAACAAGATCATTTTGGGACAAATCAATCAAGACATCAGCCTCAGGCCAAATCTTTCCATAGCTTTTTCCGTAAAGAAGGTAGAAATATGAAAGGATTCTAAATTATTTATGTGGGAGGCCAGTTATACTGTAGAAACCCAGCAGAGTTTGGAGTTAAATAATAAATGTATGTTTTTCTCAGGGGTGTATAATAGATTATGTTCAAATTCCTCATTATTTTGTATCAACTCTCAGGCTTTGCTGCTCACAGAAGAATGGTTTGATGCTGAAAGTCTTATCAACATTTGAGCTAGAGATCTGATGTGCTTTGGTACTTACTCAACATTCTTTATAGTTAAAAGAGGGATTACTGGAGGACACTTGTACACGTGAAAAGGTAAACTGGTTTATGCAACTGCAAGTTCTGTATGGAATCAGTTGTGCATCAACCTCCCTGAAACTGTGAGAATACTGGCATGTTCCACAACTAATTGCCATAGGAAGTTACTCAGCATTTATTGTTAGGTGGCTCATTTCCAACACTCAGTCCTCCCTCTCAATCTTCCAGCTTCAAGAAACCTAATGAGTTCCTGCTGAGCCTAATGGTGAGAAAGAACGGTCTCTGACAATTCTGACAATTGGGAAAGGGCCATACTTTTGGTCAACCTAAATAAATATTAGAAGATAGCATTGTACCATTTTTTATATCTGGGATTCATTTAATTTAATAGTATGTGTTCATCTCAGTGCTGCTATCTAAATTACTTGACAAGGATTGATAATTAGGACTCATATTGTTTCTTGGACCAAGTTTCACCTTTGAAATCTGCAGTGGACTTATCATATTTTGTTCAGAAATTTCTCCAAATATCAAAGTCTTTTCTGGAGACTTCTGCCAATATTCAAGGAAGACAAACCAAAGTGGTATTTTTATGTTCTAGAGACAACTGATGGAAGGAGCTTCAGGATCTGGAAAGTAGATTGCAATAACAGGATGACTCAGAATCTCTTATCTTTCTGGGAGTTCAAATACAGTACATATTTTCAAGAAGAAGTGAGTGGTCAAGCTGTCATTAGCCTTTTTCAGAATCAGCATATTCTCAACTTGACAATCACATGACTTGCAACAGTGATGCTTCAAAATAGGACACAATGTAAGAAGTAAGCATCCTTCCAGCATAAGCCAATATCACCTTCTCCTTTTGCCAGTTAAACCCATTCAAAGCCTGACAACAAGCTGAGTTGAATAAACCTGTAAGTAGAAAAAGATGCCTTCATCAGAGAATGTTTGTCAGACATTTTGGCTTGCCTGTTACCAGTTTGGCTTTCACTTCAACAAAAATTGTTGACACTTTATTTTTGTTTTCCCACTGAAGACATGGAAACAGCAGATGCATTAAATTACCTGATGACATAGAGATCTGTTGTACATGATCCTACTGGATCCTCTGATTATCCAGGTCCTATCTATAGCAGTATTGGAAGAAACAAAATGCCTTTGATGGTACATATGATTTTGCAGACCCTAGTTTTTGATCTGAAACAATTATCAATCAGTTCACTGCTGGATCTTTCTGTAGCCCTGAACATTTTTTTCAAAGAGATCTTTTCAAGATTTAAATCTGAATTGGTTGTAGCTTACCATGTCAAGATTTGAAGAAAAGAACATTTCAATGTCTTTGGCTTTCCTAAAGCCAGTCCATTAACTGCATGTATAAAATAGGAAAGATAAATTGTTTTCAGCCTGCAGGTGCTTTAGGTTCCCAGATGCAGCATTTTCTAGAGTTGTGATTGGACAAGGGTTTTGGATCCCACACATCTCACAGACATGTTTTTAATACTGTTTACCAAATCATCATTTTTGTCTTGTTTAGCTTTATTTTATTTTAAACTTCATGTGGATCTTCAGTGGATATTCTCCAAGCTCTTCCATTTTGTGGCTATTATTTTAGCCAGAAGAGCATTGGAGCTGACATTAGTAACTTGTTCAGCACATGAGGAATTATATAGCTTCTGTCTAGATCCAGGGATGTTCTTTCTTTTGGATCCAAAATCATTTCCATATGAATCAGGAAGTGACATAGTTTTAAATAATCTTTGAGAGTAGAAGAGGAGTGAGATAATCAGAATTTGTGATATAAATTGAGGTCCTACCTGATTAATGTTCTGAAAGTCAAATTTTCTGCTCATTTTGTTTTTGTAGTTACGTTGAAAAATAATACAATATTAAAATCCCATCAAGCAATAATCAGAAATGGTAGTGGCAGAAAAAGTGTCAATTTAATTTTTTAATAAGATAAACATTGATATATATAAACCATACCTAGAAGAGCTCGTAGGGTCCTCCATAATTTTTAAAAGTGAGGAAAAATAAATTAAAACACAATTTCTCTATTCCATGAGAAAGAGGCAGTTATGAAACTGGTAAGCTCCCACTATAAATTAAGAAAACTGCACATTTTCAGAATAGAAAGAAAACAGTCTTCCATTTCTCCACCCATGAAAAGCAATACCGAATAAGTGCACAATGTATTTCTCTTTTCCTGTTGTGCTATTTACTATTCCCCTTGTCTACTTTTTATCGCTGTAATTTGAAGTCGGACTGACAGCCTTGAGAATCTTGGTATTGAAACTATAGTGCTATCTGATGATGAGCAAATAAACTGCAGTTTTTCTATTGTTTGCCTCCCCCCACAAAGGTACATAGAAATAGAATCAAAGTTAGGATGTTGTGGGCGGGATAAATTATTATACAAAATTATTACTCTATGTGTGAAAATATTCATATTACATAATACAATACACTTATTTCTTTCTTTGGATCCTGTGCCGGATCAGTTTTACAATGCAGTACAATAGCATATGCTCCTGGAAGCCACCAAACATTTACATTCTGAGATGTTTGTTCAGTTAGTTCTGGGAGACTTTCAGAAATCAATAGAATGAGTTAAGAATTGTTATGTTCCATTGACTAGTAACCTCCCCCCCATACACACACATACAAAAAGGAGATAAACTAGACATAAAGAGTTCTAGGTGTATTTAAGGTAGTAGCAGCAAGATTTTAAAATCTATTTATGTCCAGAATAAATTTAAGAAAGGACATGGGGCCCAAAATCCAAAGCCACTCCACCTTTTCAAGTTGAGCCAAAGTTGGTTCATCATTCCCATCCAGACTCTTACAGCCTCCAAGTACTTGGACACACCACAACAGCATCCCCTGCCTGGCCTGGGGTAGAGATATAGTATATAAATCGCTATCATTAGTATATGATGATATCATACCCTGTGCTGTCAGACGACTTCACCCAGTAGTTTCAGGTAGATATTAAAGAGAATGACAATTCCAGTAGTCCTAGTTGTTGTCCTTACACAAGGACCATGTGGGCTATTAAACAAGGACTTCATGTGATGCAACTTTTGATTGGCTTCACCACTGACTTTGTTTGTGAGAAGCCAGCAGGGAACATCAGAAATCATGCTCACGTGACTAGTTGAATGCTGTGATAGGTGAAACTTCAAGGACCAATTATAAGTACAATTCATTCAGCACTTTTCTAACTTTGAATGGTCACTGAACAAATGGATGTAATTCAAGGACTATCTCCATTTTTCTCATATACGCTACCTAAATAATTTTTGCTACAAACAATACAAATGCTCCTTGCTTGCTGACTGCCTCATTCAATGGTCATTTGAAGTTAGGATGATGTAAGAAATAGCTTTGCAACCAATCCTTGCATTGATGACTGTAGCAGTATCCCACAATCATGTGATTGCCATTTTCGGCACTTTGTAATTGGCAGAAATGTATGCCCATTGCAGTGTCCTCAGTCATCTGATTGCCACTTGTCTGCTTCACAACTGGCTTGCAACAAGCAAAGTTAATGGAAAATGTGGAAGTAAAATTGCAAATTGCAATCATATGATGTTTCATTTAATATTATGGTGACTCACTTAACAACCAACTGGAAGCAACATAGTAAGTCCATCACAGTTGTGTGATTTTTCTGCTTAGTGACTGGTACTTAGCAAAGGAGTTACAGGGGTTGCTAAACAAGGAATACCTAAATGTATTATTAAATTAAATAATGTGGCTATTGGGGAACATACTACATTCATAGCAGAAAGATAGGATCTAAACATTTCAAATAGCGGGTAAATAGATTATCTGTTGTCTTCCATAGATTTTAATATCCTGTTTTCAAAAACGAAACTGTATCACTTGGAGCTCAGGAGCAAAATAAACCAAGTCCTATATTTACGTTTTGAATCACATGAGGAATTATCAGCAATTTTCCTCCTCCTCTGATTCTCTATAGAGACATGATTTCATTTGGCAGAAGTTGGCTTTCCTGCAGTGTGTTTATTAAAAACTAATCTGCCATTATTTGCCGATACCATGATTGCTGAATGCATATTGTGTGCTGATTGACAAATCTGGCACAACGAATGCCTATTGTTGACATCTGCAACTGTATGATTGCATGTTTATATTCAATCCTACATAAAGACTATAATCTTTCTATTCTGGTTTCTTGCTGTATTACATACTGTGTCATTCTGACAGGATTCAGTATGCAAACTAAAAAATATGAGAAAAAAATTAAATTAATTGATACAAATAAAGTAAAGCTAGAGCAACCTTCCCTCTTGAGAACTGAATGATCAGCAGTCAATGGAGGAGAAACATGGCCAAGACTTGGGCACCTCACATATATAATGACAATCACTGAGTTGATTCCTGCTGATTGAAACAATTAGTGGAATTTAATACCACTTACTAAAATATAGATTAAATTGCCATTATCTTTTTTTCCTAGGTACAAAA